ATCTACTAATTATTAAGGAGCAAATTTTTATGCTTTGAAGAACTATTATTTTTTTAATCATTTAAAAAATTTTTAATAACTACATGATTAGAAGAAGCATTTCACTACAGATTTAACATATTCATTAACACACTCCAGAGAAAGAGTACATCTCTTTCACAAGTGTGTGCAAGTTTCTAGGCTCACAGTTGAGTTAATACAGTTATACAATATTGAATTCAGTATAAGCCCTGTAAGACATTGTTTCTTGCAGAAAGACTCATTGTTTTTGCTAATCACACTGAGATGTTGGTGCTTGCATCTCTAATATGTGTGTATCTGATTACTACTAGTCATAATCGGTTGCACTTGGATCCTTGGCATCTGTGTATATCTATAATGTCATCGGGCAGATTTCAATGGTATTGTTTACCACCTCTACTAATTAGCATGATGTAAATTTCCATGCTTCGTCTTCAAATATAATACATCTTTTAAAAATTTGTTGATTTTTTTTTTTGTGTGTGTGTGTATCACACAGAACATCCCAGACCATCTCATTTGACTATACACCCACTTCCCAGAAAGCAACCTCCCATAGCCTTCCTCCCCCCACTAGAGCCCTTATACTCTGATATTCCTGCTACTGTCTGCTGTATTGTCAGCACCCCCAGCCATTCCCCACTACTTGCCCTTCTGGTGAATCTAGTCAGCCTATCTAGAGGTCTTTGTTTTAGGAGGGTCAGCTGTTCCTCATCTAGCAGCAATCAGTTGTCAATATTCCTTTAGATAAGAGTGGGGTCTGCTGTTCATTTACCCAGTTCTATGATGGGTTACTATCTGGAAGTCCGTTTGGCCACCCTGGCCAACAACTCAAAATAAGGTATTGCCTGTCTGGCATTGTTGCTTGTTATGTAGCCTTTAGCTATGCATATGGACTCTTAAGAAATTATATTGTCCCCTTTAATCTTTGGTTATATTTCCTTTTGGGTGTTTAAGGCATACAGATGGCCCAGAAAAACCAATTTACTTTTACTCTTAAGGTAGTTTGAGGAACTGTCCTTCAGGGGTCACATGGGCTTGGGAGGAGTTCCTCGCTCCTTTCTTTTACTAGTTCCGCCTATGTAAGGATAAGTCAAAGGTCCTGCTCAACCATGGTTGGCTTCACTTGGAAGCATGGAGGAAATGATTCCTCTGTGTTGACCCTCCTCTTTGTAGACTGGACACTGGTTCAGGTCCATCTGGTGGGGTCTCCTCGGCCTCCTTGATCAAGAGGACACATGACCCACCACAATTACAGGACATTTTGGGAGATACTCATATTCCCCTGGAACTAGTCGACCTAGGAGGGCAGGGAGCAAAAACTGTCGTTTATGTCCCTCTGAACAAATAAGTACAGGTCTCAAAGTATGTCTTTTAAACATCCAAGAAGGTTAGTTCCACCAGTATGGTACTTTTAATTACTGTGTGTCATGTAGATAAATCTTGGCAAAGACCAATTGTTCTCAGATAAAACTTACTTAGACATATATTTCTTGATCTGCTATGTATAATTTGTCAGTAGGTTGTAGGAGTAATATGGTTCCCTCTGGTTTTCAAAACTA